TTGCTGCAATTTGAACAGTGAATGAGCAGATGGAAGATTTCTCTCTACTTCTCTCTCTCCCTCTCTGTAGCTCTGCCTTTCCAAATAAAATGAAATAATTCTGTTTTTGTTTTTAAGAAACCTTTGACAAGTAGATGAAATAACACATGTACTTAACATTTCCAGCCCAAGATGATTGAAATTTTTTGGATTATTAGAAGTGAAACCTATACACTTTGGATAGTCTTGTGACCTGTCACAGTCATCATCACTAGTGTTCATGAAGGTCACCTTCTCTGGCTGTCTAGCTGTGAGAGAGAACTCCTGTTTCTCTTTCTCACCTTGGTGATCATTAGCTATAGGAAGGCATTCAGGTACAGGAAGATATAGCACTGAGAGACAGAATCAACTGCATCATTATTTGTTAGCGTAATCCTTTGGAATTTATTATGTATCAGTGGAAACCCTGAGTAGTCGTAAGGCTCTAGGAATGCCTAAGTCATTCTGATCAAAAGTTAAATATTCTTCATAGATATCACTCAAGTCATTTCTTCTCCAAATATTGTTTATTATTTTAGGATCTTTGGTCTTGTTGCCCATTTCTCTTTAATTATCCTATATTCAGCAGCTCTGTTCAGCCAAATAATTTGTAGCATTATCTTCTTCCAAAGTAAAATCATGAGCTATTCAAAGATTTCTGAATATGTTCTTTATATATATTTTCAAGAAGATAAGTAAAATAGAATACATTTCTTTTTCCTCTGATGATATCCCTGTATATATTTCAAATAGGATTTATGTCTAGGCTAAACTAATTGGACCATACTACAAATAGAAACTCACAAATATATAGGAAGAATGATAAATAGCTGTATTTGGAGAAGTCTGACAGTTTAGTGGAATTACTTTCAAGTAATTTGACATATTAGTAATTTCAGACATTCACCTGCCAGTAATTTTCAGACATTCACCCGCCAGAACCAGACTAGCACAACCTCTAACTTAAGTACATTTTTCTGAAATGTAAACAGTAACCAAGTCAGAGCTAAAAGAAATAAATATGAGCTTATTTCTGATATTGTTTGTCTACATAAACGCTTCCTCCCTTCATTCCTCTGTTGCTTTTTCCCCCCCTCCCTGTTCTGCTGTTTCTGTCTTTACTCCCTCCCCCTCCTGCTCCTTTCTTTTTAGTGTTCTGAATTCATTAGATGGCATAGTGTAAATCAATAGTAAACGCTAACCGCCTACTCTGTACTCAGTTACGCAACATCACAGAACCGGTACACAGAGACAAAAAGGGAAAAAGCACACACAGCCTTTACATTCAAAAGCTCTTGCATAATTTTACTTTTCCTCAGCCAAAAAGGAAATAACAGATGGGGAAACTTACAGCTTTTTTCCCTTTTCTCAGATTGTTTAGAAAAGAGTTAGTTAACATCTATGGCCATTTCTACTTGCCCAGGGCTGCAGCAAAATATCCCATAATTGCTAGTGTCCTAACTAGCTTTAAAATAGAGCTTTGTGACCCTCCATGAAGTGATGAATTTTCCAGGTAATATAAGACTAAAATTATTCTGCAATGTTTTTACTTACTTGCCTCCTATTTTATGCAAAATCGACATCATTTGAAAAATGAATTTTAAAATAGAGGAAAATAGGTGTGTGTGTGTGTGTGTGTGTGTGTGTGTGTGTGTTTTCAACTGAAATGTATCCTAATTTTAAAAAAGTTACGTAAACCTGTGTTTCTCTTGCTTTTTACTTTGGGGCCTGTATAAAGCTGTCTTTTTATTTTTTCTTGTGACAAAGCACATGCAAACTACCCCCCCCCCAAAAAAAAACGAAAAAGAAAACATTTAGATGTTACAATAGAGGCAGTTAATGTAAACTTCCTATAGAACTCACCCTTCTAAGTGGACAGTTTAAGAACCTGTTGTTTCTGGAATTCTCAGAACTTTTCATAACACTATTCTCTGGAACACCTTCCTATGCATTGTACCGCCTGTACATCCCAGATGTATAAGGAAAATTTCTGTCTCTCACTTGCTCTCTGTAACTCTTCACTCCCTTCCCATCCCCACTTCTTCATTAGAGTGTCTGACTCCCTTCTCAGCTTAAATGGGAACACAGTGAGACCTGCGTGAGATTTATCAAGCTTTCCTCCTAGTACCAATATTTTGTTTCACTAAACTAACTGATGTCTTGGGGAGCCAGACGTTTTTCTGATAAGGGAAGTTGGAGAGACTTGTGGTTTTGTTCTCTTCTTATTTTTTAGTGTGTGCCTCTCAAAGGATCATAAAGTGGACAGAAAGTGAAAGGGAGCACCTCACTAGGCAGGTCCAACTGTTGGTCTTTTTAATGCAATTGGATGAAGTGAAACGAGGGTGGAGGAGGTGTGTGGCATCATTTATGCATGATCATGAACTACTGAGGCCCTGGAGCTCAGATCAGCCCTGTTCTCTCAGGTCATCCTTTATTGCTGGATGTTAAAACTATAAGAAATCAATTCATTTGATTTTCCTAAAAGCAGGCGGTGAGGTTCCTTTAATTTTTTTTTAAGATTCAGGCTATTTCATAATTTGTATAATTTTGATTTATGTGTTAGCTATTGCAATTTAGAATTCCTTTGTACAGAAAAATCTGGTGTGCAAAGATAAAAATCAAAGCCAGAAGAGTTTTGTCTGATTTTTCAAGTTTCATTGCCTGAACGTGTGCCTCCCTGTTATTAGAACTAATCAGGATCCTCATGTTTAGCATGCCCCTGCATTTATGATGATATGGTAACATGTTTGGTTGTGGTAATATGAGTAATGATAGAGTATATATTTCTAAATATTTTATAAAAATATCTCCTTTCAACTTTTTTCTGAGTTTATTTGTGAATGGATAATGAAAATTAATCATGTCATTCTAGTCTTTAACCAAGAAATCATACTCAGGCATCTCTCTATGTGATTTGTACCTGAGTTCCAATACAAGTTGGTTTGTAGGACCCCGATAATATATACACAGGCGTGCGCGCACACACCCACACACACCCCTCTGTGCCATGGAAAGAATTTTTGTAAAAATAATATAATTTGTGATCATAGAAGAAGTTGTTTTGAATATCCTGATTTTCAAATAGGTTATCTGAATTTCAACAAACAAAATTTTAGAATTCTGAAACAAAAAAGGATTTGCATTTTTCTCATTCTCAAATAATAATAATGATAATAAGTAGTAGTAGTAGTTGGAGACGTCTGGTTATAAAAGCCAAAAGGTCTGAACTTTTTTCTAGCTTCTTTGTCAGAACAGCCTTCATTTTCATCTAGGTGGGCTTTCATGCTCTCTCAACCACTGTAGGGCAGGACTGACCTTTCAAACCCAGTGTGGGTCATCCCAGCCTGTTCAGCTCTTGTTTTCTGTTGTATCTATGCTCCCAGAAACATAAAGTCCACTTTGAGTTTCTCTTTTGCAATATGAGATCATTGTTGAGCCTAAACTTTTGTTTCCAGGGCTTTCAGGCAGTGGTGAGTTTTAAGCATTTTCTATTTTTGCATAAGTCCGCCACAAGTTTTTCAAGATAGTTGTCTTCTCCTTACAACTGGCAATGGTGATAAACATTTTTGTAAATTTTGTGACAAGAACTTCAATAACTGACTTGAAATTAGACACAGAGATTTCCTGGCTTTAACTTTAGACAATTCGCCCCATTAGGTAAGAAAGCCTTTATTATCTGTATATCTGTCTAAAAAAGCAGTTAATTTCAGATGACAGTTTTTTTGACTCTCCCTGGATGTTGTTTATAATAGTCAATGCTGCATAGACTATTGGTTGATTTAAACAGACACAAGCTTTGGCAAGTGACATTGGTGAACTTCATTAAGCTTCATATGCAAATGTGTTAGGTGTTATGATTCTGCCTCCCAAATATTCTCATGTTGCACTCTGCACATTGTCCTTTGAATCTTGACTTTTCTCTGATTATTTTGGGATTCTTTTATTTTTATGAGTTCTAGAAATTATAGAAAATTCTTACTAAGAGTGATCTTTTATATGTTTCATTATTTTTAGCTACATAGCTGATCATTGTAAATTGGTGTTGGTTTCAGTTAATCATGCTAGTCATTTTCCAGGCTTTCATTGTGTGGTTCTGTTGGGGTTGCAGGAACAATGAGGGCAATGTGTGGGGTGATCTCTGGGAAAATCACCAATGGCTTCAAAATTTTAAGGCATGGAAAAGCTAAGTTTGAAGAATTATTGATAGACTGCTATTTGTGAGGCAAATGATTTTTAAAATGCAGATTATATGATATTGAAGGCATTTTTGCTCCACAGAAGAAGCTTTTTAAATGTTAATTCTGAGTTTGTTTTTGTTGCTCTGTGACTTAGCATAAAAGGTTTTGGTTTTAAAAGGCTTCAGTTCACTCATTCCATTTGTCCTACTGGACTTGGAACATAGCACTATACATTTATTTATACCCTGAAAGGAGGAAAAGGCCAGTAACTCACAACTCATGAACCCGTGGGTAAATAATCCATAGTTTGTTCTCCCACCACTGCCACAATATTTATATCCAGAACACAAGCAACAAACAACCAAAACAAGGAGAAGCCAGTTTGTTTTTATTTACCAGATGTTTAATCAAAAGTACAGTAAAGTTCAAATGGAGCTGCAAATCCTGGTGGTTCACAATGGTTTGATTTATTTTTTTAAACAGACCATGGATAATTAGCCATAAAACATAACTTTCCCAACACAAGTTACAGTGAATTGCAGAAATGGGCAGCAAGTCATTCATAACTGGTTGCAACTGGTTACAGCCCTTCAAGTTAAACATGCAGGCAGTTACAAAAGCCACTTTCTCAGTACACAATTGTATATTCATTTCCAAAAGGAAACATCTTTTTCTTTTTTAATACAGTATCACTAAATTAGTGTCTCAAAGTCATGAACAAATGGATTATTTCCTATGATTGCCATGTTGTCCTACATTTATTAAAGTAAGTGCCCAGCATTTACAGTACTCCTTTCATTTCAGAATATTTCACCATCAGTAACTGGATATTCTTCATAACACTGCTGTCTGGTGAGTAACTTTCATTATTTCCAAATGGTAATCTAAAATGCTAAGGTTTCAAGAAGTCAAATATTTGTAGATTCGCGAAAGGCTGTAATGAGTCTACTAATTCAAGTTCTAATTTGATCAATACTTATTGTGAGCATCTGCCAGGGATAGATCTTTTGTATTCTATTTGCTCATTTGAAATACTATCATATTGAAGAAGAAGAAATATGATGCAAGTTTTAGTATTTTTTTTGAATTGGGTAGAAGCTTTCAAGAGAACCCATTGGGAAATTTCCGTAGAGATATTTGTGTTTCCAAAGCAGGTTCCTGAATGGGCCAAAAAAAAGGTGATATGGTGAAGTATGGTCCTGATATTTCCTGTGTGGAACTTAGATGTTTTGATATTGAGCAAAAGAACAGCGAAGTCCTCCAAATATGTTTTATGGTACTTTGAGCTAATTTTAGTGTGTTCCATGATGTTCTGGGAAGTTGGAATACATGTGCTTCGTTTGGATCCGTCTTAGTATCAGACATGATTGTTTCTGCATGAACCCACACTCATCTATGTAAGAAGATCAAGACAAGGGCTGCAGGTGAGCCTAGGTCAGAAGTTTTCTCCATTTGTCTTTTCATGAGAATTTGGAAGTTTTTAAGGAATTTCATATTGTGACTTTTCTAGAATTCTTGATATTTCAGTACCTAGGAGGAAAATGTAAGGCATTGATAGAGAGTCATCAAATCACACAATGCCATAAAAAGCTGAATTTGGTAGAACTTCGTATGCATTGAGATGCACTGGTAAATACAAGAGAGAGGAAGGAGGAGGGAATGATTAACCTGCCTAATATGTGACCATGTTCTGCTTGGACATGCTAGTCATGAACATTGCATTCATCCAAGGCTTTTGGAGTTCTGCGTTTGTTGTCTCTTAATATGAAAGTGTGTAAAATGATAAAAAAAGATATCGTGGAGCAATAAAGGTAACTTTGCAGCTGGGATTTTGATGATCATTGCACGGGATCCATAGTTATCACTATGTTGTTTCTAATTCTGTGGCCTGTCTCTCTTAGCATTTCTGTCTCATCAGTGAACACAAAATCCCTTAGGATTGTAACTCCCTCTCTCTCCCCACTCCTGTTTCCCCTTCCATGTTTTGTGTGTTACCCAAGGTGATACTCCCGTCAGGATGAGCCTCAGGAACTCCAGGAACAGGTTTATGTGATGATTTTAATCGGTCACTGCGTTTGCATTCATCACAAAATGGTCTCCTCACAAAAGAGTCTGAATTTCACACTCTTGTTGACTTACCAAGAAGCTGGTTTCTGCCCATTTCTATTCAACACACAGAAGGCTCTTTATGTTTTGATGATCAGATAAAATCTGCGTTGATGTTTCTTTTCCTGTGGGTGTGTTTCCCTTCTTGGTATGAAGATTTAAACTATCAAGGGTGATGCTGTGTGGTTGCAGTTTCTCTGTTTTACTAATGAAAAGCTCCTTGGAAAAGGAATCTTCCCCATTAATGAATAAATATTTATTTTCATTTTGAAATGATACATACTTATTAAAAATAATTTGGAAATCTACATAAGAGTAAAATGAAGAAAAATTAAAGTAATTATTTCTATAATTTAAACCCAATCATTAATAACCATTTGATATATTTTCTTATTTTCATTTTTCCCTGGGGATATATTTTTAAGTATGCTGTAATCATACTTTCTATATAATTTTTATCCTGCTTTCAAAATTTAACCTAAGAATTTTATATGTCATTACCTAGTCTTTATGAACAATTTAAATACATACAGTTCCTATTTAGGAATAGCTCTTGTAACTTAAATGTCCACTGTTACAACTCTGTCTCCACAACACCTTGCATATAAGCACCAAATTAACTATAAATATATGGTAAATAAATGAATGAAAGTTCAAATAAGCATACATTTTGAAAAACTTTATGAGGAGCAGTTATTGTGGTATAGTGGGCTGAAGCACTTCTTGGTACCCTATATTCCATATCTGGTTGCTGGTTTGAGTCTCAATTACTCTGTTTCCAATCTAACTTCCTGTTAATGGATGTGATAAGGTAAAGGGTGGTGACCCAAGTTCTTTGATCCCTGCCATGCACATGAAATATGCAGATCAAGTTCAGTTTACTCCTCATTTCAACCTGACCCACCCCTAGCTATTAGAAATATTTCGGGAATGACTCCACAAATGAAGATCTGTATCTCTCTCTCTCTCTCCTTCTATTTCTGTCAATCTATCTTTCAAATAAATAAATCAACCTTTTTAAAAAATTCTGAAAAAGTTCAGATGTATAGATGGATTACTGTATAATGTCCTCATTTTCCATCCAACTCAATGGTTAACTTATGATGTATCACTTTGGTGTTAGGCATTATAGTATGTAGTTATCAATATTTCAGGCCTTTTTACACATTGCCTTTAAAGCAATGATCCTAATCATTGTATATAATTTAATCTTCTTAGCATCCTGATATCATATATCCTAATATACAGCTATTGATTATAAAGATCTCATCACTAAGTTTCCTGAGTCTTAGTTGCATCTGTAAGCCAGAGGAGAATTGATGGACTAGAGAGACACTGCAGAAATTGAGCCAGGTTTCTTAGGGGAACTGCTTTTCTTCAGGCATTTTTTTAATTGATTGAAATTTATGATGAAAATTTGCATGCCATACCTTATGCAGAATTAATTATGCTCATTACTGGACATGTTGAGGGCAATTCTTCATCTGAGGTGAAGAGAAAATGTAGTCATCTGACTACTCAAAACTTCAGAGTTACAGCAGCCACCCACACTACATAAATGTGGAAAAGCTACTGCAACCAAAGATAAGGCTAGCTAGAGTATACTCATACAGACTGGTTGTCTTTCTACTTTCTACTTGCTGAGTTATTTACTGGAAGATTAATCATGTGATCATATTGTAAATTCAAAGTACATTATTACAAATATTAGAAGACAAAAGGTTGGGGATGGAAGGTGCGAAGTATTATGTGCTTAATATTGCATATATGTATATATGATATCTATTTTCTGTGCATAATTTTTAAAGAAAGTGTATAAATTTAACGTTTATCAAGAATGGAAAGCATGTGATGAATACTTGAGGTACTTAAAAGTAAAAAATGGGGGAGACTATATATAACAGGGACTGAGTCATATTGAAAAAACACACCAGGCTTGGGAGGAGGTGGGAGAGAAGAAATGGTACATTGCAGAACAAAGGGTGCTCCTTATGTGCTTGTATGTTTCACTCTGGTTTATTCTAAGAACATTTTAGAGAATACTCTATGAACCAGCTTTCCAAGGCCAGATCAGATTCTTCACACAAAGAGGTTCAAGAAGTAATGCCCTGCAAAAATTAGGATCTTCATAGAGAAGCAATATTCAAGGATTTCTTCTGTTTCTGTCTCCAAATTAGTGGGTCAGTGACCACTCCATAGTTGTGTGTTGCCCAACAGGTGTAGTACACTCATCAGAAATTCACGATGTTAGTAACTAAGTAACATACCACATCAGTGTAAACTGAATTTATGTGTTACTCAAATCTATTTAATCTTAGAAGAACATTTTCCATTGGCCTCGACAGTGAGTAGCTAGAATATTGATGTGTCTAACCCTTAGGGAAAGAAAAAAGAACTTCTGCACCACACTAAATCTCTAAAAAAAATATGATGGTTTACAGTATGGACACATACAAAATATTTCTAGCCAAAGCTGGTACAGAAAAGCACATGGAAAAAAGGGAAAGAAAGAGCATAAGCAATAAACTATTCCAAGCAAATAAAGAGCATCTGTAAAATTTGCTAGACTGGATGATATTAACTATACAGGTTTTTTTATTTCTTTCCATTTCTATTTTTCCCCTCAATCTTCAGATAATTTTTGTTTCTTCTTTACACTGCCCTGGCATCATCGTCATTAAAATGTCAGCAAAAGGTCAGAATGTGTCTGATGGCGTGACATTCAGACAGATAGCACTAGGAAAGATAGATGGAAACTAGCCACTTTGCTATGTTAAAGCTGCAAGGATGATTTACCAAAACCCATAATTCTCATATTTAAAAACAACTAATTGTTCCTCATTATTTTAAGATTGATAATAATAATATAACATCTAAAATAAAAGCCCAAATCTCTTTTCATGTCTTTCCTCACGTGTGATGTTAGATTATGTGTCTTGGGTCATGTAAATCTAGAATACAAACTACCTTTTAAAGAGACTACGTTTACCAATGGTTCTTTCTACTTTAAGAATTACATACTACACCCAAATGAGCCATCGGTGTCTCATCATGATAATAGCTGTAGTAATTAGTATTATTATTAATGGCAGTGTTTCCTTTGGAGTGTGTGCCTTTACACTGATTGCCTTTCGCTTGGCATTTCTTGATGCTTTGCTTCTTTGGAGCCCGATGTGTTTTCATTGTGTTACATTGTGACCTTGTATGATCTTCAAACTAGCAAGTGTTTCTTAGACTGAAGTAGTAGTATTCCACTTCTACCACCTCCTCCAAACCTGCATTACGTTCAAATTCACAATTTGATAAATCTGCTTAGATAGAGCAGGAAATTCCTAGCAAATACTCTACCAAACCAGGATCTCCATTTTAGGTATGGTGATGCTCGTGGAATGTCACAAAAGAAACACTGTTGGCTTCATGATGCTGGCATATTTGCTGGCCACACCATATTGGGTAGGTATTGCTGATTCAGATAAAACTGCCCAAAGATAGGAATGGTAGCATCTCCTTGGTGAGATAGCATGGCTGGTTCTGCTTCACATGGAGGAGCAAGGGACAGATATAATCCCCTTTCAAGGCAAAGATTCTGTAGGCAGTCTGCTTTTTTCAGGTTGGAGACACTAAGTTTTTCCTCCTTAACTAACAGACAACTTAACTGGAGTTAGTGATAAGATCATGCTCTGGAGATGCCCTTCTGTTTGGGGGATTGCCCCATCAGAAAGCCAGGCAGGGTCCAGAAAAAGCTA